ATATGGTCTAATTTGTCACCCAAAATGTCCTTCAATGTGGGTTCATCCACCAGCCACCAGAGCCTCTTTAACCTATCCAGAGTTGCATCCTTGAAAGAGACGTTTTCTCCCTCCCAGCAACCAGCAATTGCCCAAAGTTTCTTGGGTTGGGTTGGGGCTTCTTAGCCACTTCCTCATGTCTATGCTTGGATTTCATCTAGTTTAAGCTTGTGCAGGACTTGTGCATGCTGTCATCATTGCTGTGAGTGCCTATGAATAACTGACCAGATGTCTGGAAAACTCTGTTCCTTGTGATCATCTACCACTTCTGGCTCTTAAATCTTTCTGCCCCCTCTTCCCCAATGATTCCTGAGCCTCGGGAGGCAGAAGTTTGATATAGGCATCCAATTCAGGGACAAGCATTTTGTAGCCTGTTGTTCTCTGCATATTGGTCAGTTGTGGGTTTCTGTGTTAATTACCATGTGATGCATAAAGAAACTTCTCTTGTGAGAGAGATTTTTAGCTTTCAAAATAGCTTGGTAAAACAGGTTTTTTCTTTTACAGAGGAAGAAATCATAAAGGGACTTCATTTATTTATATATTTTTTAGACAGGGTCTCCAGTCCCGGGTGGCCTCAAACTTGCTAGGTAGTCAAAGATGGACTTGAACTGCTGATCCTCCTGATCCTACCTCCTGAATGCTGCGATTATAGGCGTGCACAACAACTTCTGGCTTATGTTGTGCTGGGGATTAAATCCAGGGCTTTCCACATCCTAAGCAACTGTTCTACCAACTGCTCTACATCCCTAGTCTAAACGCTTACCTAAAGGAACAAAGCAACTAAGTAGAGAATCCTATCTGTTTTCGCATGTCTGTCTCTAATATCTTCGTGTTGACCATTTGGACATTTTTGCTTTTCCTTATATCCTTTGGCTTCAGGATCCATGTTCTTAAATAGAGGAAGAAGAGACAGAAAATATTTATTTTTAAATAGTGTTATTACATGAGGTGGTTTTAATTTATTTTAGTTGGTCACATGAGCTTTGTCTTCAAGACATGAGTCAAGGTTGGATTCTTCATGAGTGAATGAAGGTTGTGTTCAGTGCACAGCAGTGGGTGGGCAGGGGAAGGATGAGGGCACCCACTATTCTGAACTATTCTTATTTCTATATGAATGGGCTTGCAGGACATGAATCAATTGGTGTGTGCTAACTTGAGGGTGGGAAGCAGGCAATCTGGCCCTTCTGGCTCCATAGCTGTGAGTTCATATGAGTAACTGTCCAGATGTCTGGAAAACTGTTCCTTGTGATCATCCATCAAGTCTGGCTCTTACAATCTTTCTTCCCCCTCTTCCCCAATGATTCTTCTATCTCTGGGGAGTGGCTTGAGGCATAACTTCACCACCTGTAGTTAGCACCTGGAGAAAATATTCCCATGAACATGGCCCTCACACTTATTTGAAGAGGATCTGCTATGGAGGCATCAGGTGGTGTTGGCCATGTGTATCCACTCAACTGAAGTTCCAAGATCTGTCAGTCACTGGACGCACCCTGTGACTGGAGCTGAGGCAGTTGTTGAAGCAAGGAGATGGCAGGACTGGCAGATAAGATACTTTTATTCATGCTATGGAGTCCTCAGTGTGCCTTTGTGGAAAAGGAGAAAGCCCCTCGTCTGAATGTTGAGACCCACATACCTCAGAATGAAGGTTTACCACAACTAGATTTAATTTGCTGTAAGTCAGGAATTCCATATGCCCATCTCAGGCTTGCCCTTGCATGGAGTTTATTTGAGGAAGTCTCCTACATGTTTGTCAGAATAATTATAAACTTGACACCTGCCCTCCCCTCTTTTTCTATGTAAAAGGAGGCCAGAGAGGTAATATGAATAAACCACAAAATGTAACCGTTCATTTGCCTTCAGCTTTGACTTCCAAACCCATGTAGAACCTCGAAGATCCAGCTTTGGGCCTTCTCCATGGTGGGGATCCAGGAAGGAGTGTGTGGTCAGCTCCAGTAACTGTTGCTTGGATCTTAAGGCTATAGCATGTGGACATGCACCTCTTTGCACGGCTGAAGAACTTTGGCACAATTATCTTGAATTAAAGTTACCCTTACAGGGAGGCAGAAGAAGCTCCATTAGAATCATTTAGGCAGATTTTCAAAGCATGCGTGCTGCTCCGCTTGCCCCACACCACCATCATGAGTGACTCCAAGATGGAGAAAGGGCTGGCTGTGAGTGCAGGCATTCATAAGTAATCCTGATCTCCCCTGCAGGGTCCACAATGGGACTATCTGACAGGATCAAACTCTGAAGTAGAGTCTACCTGTCATTGTGTTCTGCACAGCACCTGGGAACTAACTCAGTAGGTATTTGTTGAATGAACGAGTAAAGCAAATGTCAGGGGAGAGAGAAGAAAAACTTCTGGTCAGGAAGGGTAGTGCACTGGGCTGTGAGGAGGGTTGGAAGGGCCTCAGGCAATATGTGTTTATTGGACATGCTTAAAGGTGAAATTGGCTTTCTTTAGCAGTCTGGCCATGAGCTTCCTATCAATAAACATAAACACTGGGCTGTCCTTGACCTCAGGAGTTAAAATAATAAATAGCTTAATTGGCCACCATTAATTCCACTTTGAATTTATTATACATAAGCATGGCCTTGGAAAGAATTACACCCACGCTCAGCCCAGGCATTTTATCTCTGAGCTACCCAAAGATGCTCCTGTAGTAAAACAAGTAAGACTGGCCTCCCACTGCCTTCCTCCCCTCTATAGCACATTTGCTATCAAACCTAGGTACATGGTCATTTGCAAGGTTGGATGGGTAGTTAAGCCACACAGGCTCAATATAATATGACAACATTCCTCATGGTAATATCATCCTTCTCCTCATTAAATTTGAATATAGATTGCCAGTGTGTGGTGCCTGCCGACCCTGCTCTCTATGTCAGGTCGAGTTCTTTAGACAAGGTGAGGTCCACATGTACTCCTCAGAAATTATTAGCCTGTTTGGAAGCCTCAACAAAATCACAGCTATTGTCCTTAAGAACTTAATTTGCTAAAGCTCTTTTCTTCTCACCCTTAATTATGGATGTATTTATAGGTGTGAGCTACCTGCCTGCTCAGGGATGTGCATAGCTGCATCTCTAAGATGCCACTTAATGACTCAAGGTTCGCCCTTAATACTATCTCTTTGCTTCAATTTAAATACTGGTACCCAGCTCAGATTCTGAGTATTAATATTTTCTCTACTTCTGCGAAAATCTATGTATAAGCCTTTTAGCATTTTATCTGGACTAGTAAAACCACAGTAGTGGTTTTACAGGAGAAATGAGAACTCTGTAAGTAAATCTATGTATTTATATGTGTAAAGTGCATTATAAAAAGGAGCAATAAATCCAGTTTTCTACATAAAAGGAATTAGATTTTCCAGTTTACCTCTGCACTGGGATTAATAAAATATGCAACAAATAGCTGATGGAACAATCCATTTGAAGTTTGTAAAGGCATCTGGGGAAACTGGCTGGAGTAGCCTTTTTATTTTTTTTTTCCAAGGATTTCTGTTTTTTCTTTTTTCTTTTTCTTTTTTTCAATTCAGTCCTATTCCCGAATGACTATCTTCAAATGAGCTCAAGCCTGTTACCTGCCCATTTCTCCGTTTCTGCGTGGCTGAGCAAATTCACCCAGAAATCCAAATTTCTCTTCATTTCCATCACTATCCATCTCCAAATTACAGAGAATTCATTCCTGAGTTGGAGAGGTGCCAGAAGTTTCTCATCTTGCTGTCTGTGGGCTGCCTTTTTCTTTCCCCTCTTTGAGGCTCTCTGATGCCTAGAGTGAGCTCAACTCCAAGGTTTCCAGCCACACACTCGTCTTGCACTCCCTCACAGTCACACCGAGCTCTGTGATTCTGAGGAATACCGTGTGCCAACCTCTGATTCAGTCTCCTTTTACCTGCAGGTGCTCTGCAAACTTCAAAATGCGTCTGGTAATGTATTTGCTTCTCTAACATGCCACTTCCGTGTGCACTAGATATAGCTGCTTGTTATTTCTCTTTTTAATTTCTCTTTTGAATAGCATGCATGCAAAAGACTGAAAGGGGGCTTCTAGAATAGGGGCTTAATTACAGGTCGGGTGTGTGAATGTGCATGCATGCTTGTTAATGTAGGCAAGTGTATAGAAATATGATTATGTACACATATGTTTGTGCAGGCAGATTTCACTAAAAGGATCTTGTTGAAAGCACTACTTTTAATGTAAAGCCAGGTTTTCTAATCAGATCTCTAAACATCTTAACACTAGCAGCAAGTACAGAAAAGGAAATACATTTTCAAATCCATACAGATGGCATATTTTAGATACCTATTAAAAAAAAAAACCCAAAAACCTTTCTTTAAAAAAAAGGTGTGTGTGTGTGTGTGTGTGTGTGTGTGTGTGTGTGTGTGTGTTTGTGTCTAGAGGAGGGGGTGTGGGGTTTTGAAAATTGGGAGAGAAAAGAGTTACCTGACTGCTGCATTAGAATTTCCACCCCATGTCACCTGCCTTCTTAAAAGTCAGCAATCGCTGAGGGAAGAGATGTGGCTGTGCTTCGCAGGCAGCCCAGGGGGACGTTCAGCTGCAGCGTTCGGCAGGCATCTTAGGTACTCTAAATATTAGCGCTCGAATGATAAGTAGTCGGAGTGAGTTTGCTATAGCCGAATCTGGCTATGTGTTTTGGCTTGTAGGAATCATGTTCCCACTGTACATTCAGGATGTGCCTGTGGTTATTGAACTCCCTGAAAGCGCACGTGTGGGCTCATAAATCACGTTACTTATTTGCTAGTGTTGAGTGCTAGATTCTAAAATTAAGGAATTACTTAGCAATTAATAATGCATTCGGCAGCCCTTGTCTCATTGGGTGAGATTTACATCCTTGGGACTTGCTCTTCTAGTTTCAGAGACAAATGATTTAAGGTTCAGGCTTAATTGCTATTTCAAATCCTTAAGCTGGGAAGATGCTTGCACTATTTTATTTAAAAGACTTGTTTTGAAGAGCGTGAATGTGAATGTCTAATTGTGCTGGTGAGCTAATTATGACTGTAATGTGTGGTATGCTCAAGGCAAACAACTTGTCTTGAGGACTGCTCACTTGGGTAACAGCAGCTTGCTGCCCTGTCTCTATAGTCTGATCATTTTTTTTTTTCCACTTTGCAGGGTGTTCTTGCTTTTTGAGATCAATATTTACTAATTGTTGTAAAGATGAGAAAACAGTGTAGTGAGTTGGAATCCACAAAGGAAAGGAGGTTGAACAAGCAATTTTCTAAGGAATTAAACAAAATGCATTTTCACAAGTGGGTTTTCTGAACGTAGAGTAGGTATGGCTATTTGAAAAATGGAAGTGTCTTAAATAGTAACTGGTAAACGAAAATGACTAGGTTATTATTAATGCCATCTTGTAGCTCCTTGTATATTTAAAATGAGGCAGTAAAGAGGCTAATTATTTTATATTGGCTAATCATTTTGCTTCATGATATTGATTATAATACAAAAATTGATATTTGTTTTCTTTGAATTAGGGACGATTATAAACTTCAGTAACACAGTTTATTGAGTTGTAACAATAAAAATGAATATTCTTAAAAGTCAATGTGAAAGATATCTTTCTTTTTTGCTTTTCCCATAACCTAGTGTTTTATCACTTACACGGTTGTTCACTAACAGGACTATGTGCAATTTTAATTATATAGCTTTTAATGTTGATTTTTAAATTAACTGTCTAATTCATAATTCTTCAGTAACACAGTTTATTGAGTTGTAACAATAAAAATGAATATTCTTAAAAGTCAATGTGAAAGATATCTTTCTTTTTTGCTTTTCCCATAACCTAGTGTTTTATCACTTACACGGTTGTTCACTAACAGGACTATGTGCAATTTTAATTATATAGCTTTTAATGTTGATTTTTAAATTAACTGTCTAATTCATAATTATTAAAAGTATTAGAGTAAAATGCATTTCAATATGTAGGGGTGGATCCCTGAAAGTGTATAGAATATTATGAGTCTTTAAAAACCATTATAGGCTATTAATGCTATATTTATATATTGCTCTCTGCATTACCGATTTTTATTTTAAGTACTGCTTGTTTCCAATACTGTAAATACACCCAAGATTGTGTCATACACAATGTAAGAATATTGCCTGTGAATGTAAATATCTTGATGAAGGTTTAATTGAGAATACAGGATAGCTGAAGATTTAGTAGCACCTTTATACCTTTATACTATACACTAATATATATATATATATATATAATAAAGACCTGTAAAATTTGAATGATTTGCATTCAATCATATTACAAAACACTTTCACCTTACTTTTGAAGTTGGCTATTTAGTGCGAAGTCAGTTTTATGGGTATAAAAGAGGTTTGATTTTTCCGAGGTTTTATGGCACTGTATGGTAACAGGCAAACAAACATTCAATGTTATTTAGTAGGAGATACCGTATGTACTGAATAGTGAAAAGAAAGACTGCCACATTTGCCATCTGTCCCTGGTTATGATTTCCTACATACTTTTAGATACATGATAGACCAGGTCTTTATTTTGTAAAACAGATTAGTATTACTCCCAAATTCACACAATTATCAGACATTTTCTCTGAAGCAACAATTTCCTCATTTTATGACTGAACTTGCTTTATCAAACATCTGATTTTTATGGTGCATATACAGTGTATTAAAAATATAATATATAGGCTGACCATGCCTTCATAGCTGAAAACCATCATCCTTTAAGTAAGCATTTATTAAGCATCACACTGTCAAATTGTCAAACTGTCTCCTGGCTTGGGATGAAAGGGTGGGTGGGGCAGGGGAGGTCTTCTCTACAGAAGTGAGAGAGGCTGTTTCTCCACAACAGTTGTGTCTGGAAGCACAGGAATCTTTAGCGTGGTCTGAGACTTAATGTTAGTTTTCATTTTTTCTACTTGGTTTCCAAATGACACAGTCTGTAGGGTCTTCCAGTAGATGAACAGTTGCAGTTGGCATGGGGAGGGAGGCCAGTCAAAAATTCTGGAGAAGGTAAGTCTTCACTAAGTTCTCTAAAGGAGCTTATTAACAGTAATTGATGAAAAGGAGAAGCATAGCCATTTGGGTTGGATGGGAAAGAAAATGAGAAAACGCGAACAGCAGCACAGCAAGGGAAAAGCGGGTGGTGGCGCTGTGTGGAGAAGCCACATCGCAAGTGACAGGAAGTGAAATTGAGAAACAAATTACAAGGATGACTTTGAAATGTTATAAATTAGTTTATTTTTTATTAAATACTGTGGAAAATTACTTAAGGAAGTGAACCACTTTCTGAAACAGAATCTCTCTCTCTCTCTCTCTATATATATATATACACACACATATATGTATACATAAAATATTTATTATTTTTTGAGCATGTCTTCTAGTTATGGGATAGAACATACATTGTTCATGTCTCCAGTCTACAGGTGAGATGTAGAAAAGTAATGAGCTTGCCTAATTTATAATGTATAAATGGAAGAGCTTGCGTTTGAACCTGCACTCCAGAACCAAATCTTCTGATCACTTATAAAAAAAAAAAATCACTGAGGCTCATTGCCTTATCTGGTATGCCTGGTCGTTTACTGGATGTGTCATTTGGTTTCTCTGGGAAGAGATGCTAAGAGCTTCAGTGGATCATAGGAAAGTAAAGATGGAAGGGATAAGAAGCAAAATTGGCCAGAGATTGGTTTCTCAGTATATGACAGAAGTTCCATACTAGGCAGAAATGTCAGGGCTTGTAAGTCCATCATGTTCTGTCACTGTCTGGGGTTTCTTAGGAAGAGCATGGTTGTAGTTCAACAATTGATGCATCTCCTGAATGTTCTACAGGTAGAGGCTCTCTAAAAAGAACTGCACTTCTTTTTAAGTCATATTTTGTATAATTATTGATGCATATTAGTTGGGCATATTGATGGGTTTCACTGAGACATTTCTGTACATGAAAGGTAACATGCTTTGGTTGTATCTGCCTTCCTGAGTGCCTTCTAACCCTTTCCTTCCCTCCCTCCTCACACCATTCCCCTCCTCTGCCCCTCTCCTAGTAGTTCCTCTACTAATTCAGGTTGCTTTTTAAAATTCTAGATAACACATGTGAGAGAAAACACACCACACTTGCTTTTCTGCATCTGACTTATTTTAATTAATGGGATGACTAGTGGCTACATCTGTTTTCCTGCAAGTGATAAAATTGTGTTATTTGTTATGGGTAGATAATACTCCATTGGGTATGTATAGTGTAGGTTCTTAATCTGTTCATCTGTTAATGTGTGCTCAGACTGATTCCATAGCTCAGCTATTGTGTACAGAGCCACAGTAAGCTTGTTGGGTATTTGGGTCTTTCGTATGTCTTTATACATCCTTAGGTTTGTGCCCAGGAGTAGTCTAGCTGGATCGTAAGGTATTTCTATTCTTGATTTTGTGAGAATTTCCACACTGATTTCCATAGTGACTATAGTAATTTACATTCCTCTCAACAATGTATAAAGGTTCCATTCTGCCCCCCATCCTCACCAGCATTTTTAATTTTTAAAATGTAATTGTCATTCTGATTGGATGAGATGGAATCACAATGTAGTCTTGATTGGCATTTCCCTGATCTAAAGATGCTGAGCACTTTTCTGATATTTATTGGTTGTTTATATTTCTTCTTTGAGAAGTGTGTATTCAAATAATTTTCCCATTTATTGAATGAATTATTGATTCATTTGTTAAAGTTTTTTAGTTCTTTTTATAGTCTGTACATTAGAACATTGGCAAAGATGTTTTTACCATTCTGTAAGCTCTTTTCCTGATAAGATCAAAATGGTCCTGTGTGAATGCAGCCATGGTATAGAGGCTGCGATGATCAGAGAGATGGGAGACGTGCTAGAAGGCCAGTTGGAGTTCAGATGCAAAGATATGAGGGCTTGAACTAAGAATGTAAAGAATGAGAAAGAT